CGCTGGGTGTCGCCACCCGCCCTCAAGGATTTCCTCTTTCAAGCCAAATACCAGATCCGCTACCGAGTGGAGGACAGTGTGGACTGGAAGGTGACCCGCCCATTCCCTGACTCCGCCCCTGTTCCTGCCAGGCCCCGCCCCTGCTCCTGCTAGGCCCCGCCCTCTACTCTGACCCTGTCCTGGCTGTCCAGGTGGTGGACGATGTGAGCAACCAGACCTCCTGCCGCCTGGCCGGCCTGAAACCCGGCACCGTGTACTTCGTGCAAGTGCGCTGCAACCCCTTTGGCATCTACGGCTCCAAGAAAGCCGGGATCTGGAGTGAGTGGAGCCACCCCACAGCCGCCTCCACCCCCCGCAGTGGTGAGCACCCCCCTAGGGCCGGGTGATCCAGCGGCCAGTCCAAAACCAGCTAGAGCCTCTGTTTCCTTGTTTTCCTTTCTTTTCTTTTCTTTTCTTTTTTTTTTTTTTTTTGTTCTTTTGAGATGCAGTCTCATTCTGTCACGCAGTGGCGTAATCTGCACTCACTGCAACCTCTGCCTCCCGGTTTCAAGGGATTCTCCTACCTCAGCCTCCCGAGTAGCGGGGACTACAGGCACGCACCAACATGCACAGCTAATTTCTGTATTTTTTAGTAAAGACGGGGTTTCACCATGTTGTGCAGGCTGGCCTCGAACTCCTGACCTCGGGTGATCTGCCCATTTCGGCCTCCCAAAGTGCTGGGATGACATGTATGAGCCACCGTGCCCAGCCTGTTTCCTGGTTGTCTCCAAGAGAGTAGAGGTCTCAAACTGGTGGCCCCCCCGGAGCTGAATGTGGCCCTTGGATCTATTTTCTTTGGCCTGTTTGGAAAAAAAAAAAAAAAAAAAAAGTTTGACCAACTAGTAGAAATTTAAAACCAGGAAGTTTTTACACAAATATCCTAGATTCCTTAGAAAAATAAATTCTCCAGAAAATGTAACAGCATGGCCCACAGCCCCCATCAGCAGTGGTCACCCCTTCCCAGGACCCTCACTCTCCATTTGCCCATCCCCACCTGGCCTGTTTTGGACACTCAGACTCCCTCCTAAGAGGGCCAGCGAGGCCAGGCACGGTGGCTCATGCCTGTAATCCCAGCACTTTGGGAGACTGAGGCTAGCGGATCATGAGGTCAGGAGATAGAGACCATCCTGGCTAACACAGTGAAACCCCGTCTCTATTAAAAATACAAAAAATTAGCCGGGTATGGTGGCGGGCACCTGTAGTCCCAGCTACTTGGGAGGCTGAGGCAGGAGAACGGCAGGAACCTGGGAAGCAGAGCTTGCAGTGAGCCGAGATCGCGCCTCTACACTCCAACCTGTCCAACAGAGCGAGAGACTCCGTCTCAAAAAAGAAAAAAAAAAAAAAAAAAAAAGAGGGCCAGCGAGTTTGAGACCCCTGCTTCTAAGGCCAATGGGCTGCCAACTCCCACTTTGATGGGCCTCAGTTTCCCCTTCTGATCAAGGCAGGGGGATGGGAATGATTAGGTGCCTAGATCTGCCTCCTCTTGCTGTCTGGGGTTCCTCCGGGTCCACAGGCCTCTACTCTCTCTTTTGTGAAATGAAACAAAAGCTGTTACTTGGAATGTCTGGCCTCCGTTTCCCCATCTGGAAGGTAGGGTCAAGAATCCCACTTGCCTTGGGCTGTCGTGAGGGTTGGATGACATAATTCGTGGCAAATGCCCACATGGTGGGTGTCACCTAAGTGCTTGCAGGCAGTTGGCATGGAGGTACTTATTGTCCCGTCCCTCCAGGGTTTCACTGCAAGGGAGACCGCTTTTTCTCAGGTGAGGACACTGAGGCTCTAGGAGGTCACACGGGTCTGAACTTAGTTCACAGGGAAGTCCAAGCTCACTCTGGCACGAGAGATGATAGGGAAACTGAGGCCCTGAGAGGGTCCCAGAGCTAGGGAGGGGTAGAGTCAGGCTCCAGTCAGCTCCCCAGCCCCTATCCCGGGCCCCTCCAGGTTCAGGGGTGGGCGGGAGCAAGCGCAGCCGGGAGGGGCCTGAGCCTTGGCCCCTGCTCGTGCCCGGCACCTGCGATTCTTGCACAGGAGCCAGCAGGCCGCTGCGTCCGCAGGGGAGGCTGGGGAGGCCGGGGAAGGCCAGCAGGGGCGGCGGGGGCCGGGGCCGTGCCAGGGCCTGTCAGCGGGTCCCCGGCTTTATTTATGACGTGAGGCCGATGTCCTTATCCGCCGGCCTGCTGGGGGGCTGGCTGCAGCCGGCAGCTGGACCGACAGGCAGGCCTCCCACCTGGTCCTCCCGGCCCACTCCCTGTCCCATGGGCCCATGCTGGGGACTGTCCCATGGGGTCATGTTGCACTTGGTCTCCCTTCATCTGTCACTCTTCCTCTGTGTCTCTGTCTCGATCTCTTTGTCCCTATGTCCCCAGGGTTTCTGTCCTACCCTGATCAGGCCTTTTCCTCCTGGGCTGACCCCCTTCGCTTTCACCTACCCTGCGTCTCCATCTCTCCGTCCCTGGCCTCGGCTCTCTCATCCGTGCGTCTTTCTTCCTTTCTCTTTGTCAGCCCCCTGCTCTGTCTGTCTCTGTGTCTCATCCCCCCCGGCTCTGGCCTCTCTCATTCTCCCCTCCCCCCACTCCACTCGCACCTGGCTCAGGCCACAGGAATCGGGTTCCTGGAGGAGATGTGGAGGAGGAGCCCCTTCCTTCCCCCGCCCCCCCCCACCTCCCCAGGGGCGCAACCGGGCCAGGGGCGCAGCTGGGCTGCTGTGCAGGGCCTCGGGGAGGACTCCGTCCCTGAGAAACCGGGAGAGAGGTTCCCCGAGGGAAACATGGTCCTGCCGCGCCGGGGTCTTCCCTCTCCTGCTCGCGCGCACCCCCTGCCGGGCGCGCCCTGACACTGCCGCTCCGCCCACCACCAGAGCGCTCGGGCCCGGGCGGCGGGGCGTGCGAGCCGCGGGGCGGAGAGCCGAGCTCGGGGCCGGTGCGGCGCGAGCTCAAGCAGTTCCTGGGCTGGCTCAAGAAGCACGCGTACTGCTCCAACCTCAGCTTCCGCCTCTACGACCAGTGGCGTGCCTGGATGCAGAAGTCGCACAAAACCCGCAACCAGGTAGGAAGGAGAGACCCGCGGGCGTGGGTGGGGACAGGGAGCTGGGGGGCCCAGGAAACAGGGGAGGGGGAAGAAAGCAGGCTGTGGACGCAGGTCTGCAGCCCCCACGACACCTCTGCCTTCCTTCCAAGCACAGGACGAGGGGATCCTGCCCTCGGGCAGACGGGGCACGGCGAGAGGTAAGGTGGGCCTGAATGGGTGTGCGGGAGGGAGCAAGGGGAGGGCCCCTTCCGGTGGCTGCAGGTCTTGTTCACACCCCCACGCCTCCCAACCCCAGCCTTAGAGTCGCTGAGATGGAATCCGTCCTCTTCCTTTGTTATTTATCAGCATTTATTTAGCACTTACTGTATAACTGGTATTGTCTCCTTTAGCCTAAGAACATTCAATGCCCTGAAAATGTCCGAAGTGGAATCTCCTCCGAAATGAATGAACATACTCACCCTAGTTAGCATGTATGGGCACCTACTGCATACTGGCCCCGCACCAAGTGCTTTACCTGCAGCTCAGATAGCCTAGCCAAGGCCCAGAGAGGGGCAGGATCCTGCCCAAAGTCACACAGCCAGAAGCGGTGGGAACAGGACCCGAATGAGGGCTCCTTCAGTGGCTCTGTGGTGCAGCCCTCTCCCGGGCTCCCTGCTTAGCTCGGCTTCCCCTCTGCCTGCAGGTCCTGCCAGATAAGCTCTAGGGGCACAGGCCACCCTCCCTGCCACATGGAGACGCAGAGGCCGAACCCAAACTTGGGCCACCTCTGTACCCTCACTTCAGGGCACCTGAGCCACCCTCAGCAGGAGCTGGGGTGGCCACTGAGCTCCAACGGCCATAACAGCTCTGACTTCCACGTGAGGCCACCTTTGGGTGCACCCCATTGGGTGTGTGTGTGTGTGTGTGTGAGGGTTGGTTGAGTTGCCTAGAACCCCTGCCAGGGCTGGGGGTGAGAAGGGGAGTCATTACTCCCCGCTACCTAGGGCCCCTCCAAAAGAGTCCTTTTAAATAAATGAGCTGTTTAGGTGCTGTGATTGTGAAGGTGAGTTTGGGGCCTACCTGGCCTGGGGTGGGGGCTGTAAGATTTTAGGGGAATGTGAGGCATCTTAATGACCCTTTGAGAATTTTCACCTCCCAGGACTTCAGACTGTCTCTCCAATATTTGCAAGGTCTGATTCTGTAACTCCTTGGAGAATGTGATTCAAAATACCTGAGTCAGCTGGTCCCTAAGGCTCATTCCTATAATCCCAGAACTTTGGGAGGCCAAGCTGGGAGCACTGCTCGAGGCCAGGAGTTGGAGACCAGCCTGGGCAACAAAGGGAGACCTCATCTTTACTAAAAGTAAAAAATCGGCTGGGCACGGTGGCTCACACCTCTAATCCCAGCACTTTGGGAGGCTAAGGCAGGTGGACCAAATGAGGTTAGGAGTTTGAGACCACCCTGACCAACATGGAGAAACCCCATCTCTACTAAAAATACAAAATAACTGGGCATGGTGGCGCATGCCTGTAATTCCAACTACTCAGGAGGCTGAGGCAGGAGAATCACTTGAACCCAGGAGGTGCAGGTTGCAGTGAGCCAAGATGGTACCACTGTACTCCAGCCTGGGCAACAAGAGCAAAACTCTATCTCAAAAAAAAAAAAAAAAACCAAAAACTGGGCTCATGGTGGCATGTGCCTATAGTCCCAGCTACTTGGGAGGCTGAGGCAGGAGCATCGTTTGAGCGGGGTGAAGCCGAGGCTGCAGTGAGCCATGATCTCACCACTGCACTCCAGTCTGGGTGACAGAGCAAGACCCTGTCTCAAGCAAAAAAACCTCAGAGTTTCTAGGGAGGGTGGGAGTCTTCTACCCATAATCCCTGGCCCTGTGGGGGTCCCCCCCACCCCAGGCACACTGGCTGCAGTACCCTAGGACACAGAGATGGCAGAGCGGCTACAGAGGAAGGGCTTTTTATTGTGGGAGGTGTCTCGAACTGCACGAAGGTCAGCAGCGCAGTGGGGCGCGACCCCAGCCAGCTGGCGGTTAGGGCTGGGCTGGACGCCATCCGCCCCTTTTCCCATCTCCCTCGGCGCATCCCTGGGGAGCCGCCATCACTCGGCAGATTCCGCATCAAACCTGAGGTCCTGGAGAACCTCGCTGATCGCCTCCATGGTTTTAATTACCCTACAAGAGCGGATGGGAACTATAAATAAAACCCAGATGGGGCGAATTAGCTGCTGCCGCGAAGCTGCAAGAGGGCTGTGGCTGTGGTGAGCCCCGGGCCCTCCTGCCCGCCGCCAAACCTCCAGGCAGCACTAGCAGCAGGAGGGACCGCTTAGGTGCCTGGGAGAAGGGGTGGCCCCACAGGTCACAGTGGGCTGAGAGAAAAGGCCATCTGGGCTCTGGGCACAGTGGCTTACGCGTGTAATCCAGCATTTTGGGAAGAGGCAGGCGGATCACCTGAGGTCAGGAGTTCAAAACCAGTCTGGCCAACATGGCAAAACCCCGTCTCTACTAAAAATACAAGAACTAGCCAAGCATGGGGGGCAGGCATCTGTAATTCAAGCTACTTGGAGGGTCTGAGGCAGAAGAATCCCCGCTTTGAACGCTGGGAGGCACAGAGGTTGAGGTGACGCGGCAAGATCGCGCCACTGCACTCCAGCCTGGGCAACAGAGCAAGACTGTCTCAAAAAATAGAAAGAAAAATACGAAAAAAAAAAAAAAGGACCGGGAGTGCTGGCTTATGCCTGTAATCCCAGCACTTTGGGAGGCTGAGGTGGGCAGATCACGAGGTCAGGAGATCGAGACCATCCTGGCCAACATGGTGAAACCCCGTCTCTACTAAAATACAAAAAATTAGCTGGGCGTGGGGCACATGCCTGTAGTCCCAGCTACTTGGGAGGCTGAAGCAGGGGATTCATTTGAACCCAGGAGGCGGAGGTTGCAGGGAGCTGAGATTGCGCCACTGCACTTCAGCCTGGTGACAGAGTGAGACTCCGTCTCAGCAGAAAAGAAAAAAAAAAAAGGCCATCTTGGTGGGATGTGTAGCATCAGGAGGTTATGAAGCATGACTCTGTCAAATGTGTATGTACATGAGTGTGTGTGCTTGGGGGCTGAGAACAGGCATCTGAAGGTTTGTGCTCAGTGGGGCATGGGCGACAATATCCAAGCTCCACGGACAGCCACATGTGCAGGATTGGCATGAATCGAGGTACACAGCAGTGTCCCAGCAATGCACAGCGAAATTGATGTGAAGTTTCACGACTATGCCCTCTGGGGAAGTGTATATCTGAGGGCCACCAGATGAGAACACCATTGTACAGAGGCAGAGGGTTCCTCTGCTGGGTCTGACCGTGCCAACCCTGGTGCAAATTAAGCATAGCCAGGCGGCTTGGGCAGCAGCGCTCACTTCATTTTCAGCTGGTGCATCTGTACAGCGTCCTCCTGCCCCGCCAGCTCTGGCGTCTCCATCAGCTGCAGCAGGGCCACCTGGTGGGGGGGAATGAGCAACGCGAAGGATGTCTCCACTGGCAGAAGCCACCCCCTGCCCTCCCAGGATGTTCAGGAAAAGACAGAGGCACCCAGAAAGGCAGTGCCCGGGTAGAACCACAAGGGGCAGTGCTTTGTGTAGGAAGAGTCCGAAATTCAGTTTAGAGGGGCTCTCAGAAGGCAGACAGCGAGCATGCCAGAGGCAGTGCTGAGCGCGATGTGGGCGTGGCCTGGGAAGAAAAGTGACGTCTTGTCTTAGCCAGGCAGTGGCCCTAGCGGTGGGTTAGGCTGCGCCTCATGGTCCCAGGATAAAAGTAGGCAAAAAGGCTGGACGCGGTGGCTCACGCCTGAAATCCCAGCACTCTGGAAAGCCGAGGAGGGCGGATCGCTTGAAACCAAGAGTTCGAGACCAGCCTTGCCCATACGGCAAAACCCCGTCTCTACTAAAAAAAAAAAAAATACAAAAATTAGCCGGGCGTGGCGGGGCACGCCTATAATCCCAGCTACTCAGGAGGCTGAGGCAGCAGAATTGCTTGAACCCGGGATGCAGAGGTTGCAGTTAGCCGAGATCGCGCCATTGCACTCTAGCCTGGGTGACAAGAGCGAGACACTGTCTTTAAAAAAGGAAAAGAAAAAAGGCCAAAAAGAGGCTGCAACGGGTAGCTCGTGGGGGGCGTGGCCTAGAAATTCCAGAGCAGATCTCGGTGTGGGCGTGGCCTCACGTAGATGTGACCGGCCACACACACACACACACACACACACACGCATGGTTGCAGGGCCTAGTAGGCGGATCCCAGGAGAGAAATAGGCAAAAAAACTAAAGCTGTGATGGAGGAATACGGAGGAGGCGTAGCCTGGGAACCCCCTCGCCTGTATCTACGGGAGGTTGGGGGTGGGACAGGAGAAGCGGAAGAGTGTGGGTGGAGCATTGTTGGGGCGGGACCTGGGCGTGCTGGAATAGCATTTAGGCGGGGCTGGGAGAAAGTGGGAATGCTCTAGGAATAAGGACAAAACTTGGAAAAAAAATTGGGGATAAACAGCAAGGGCAAGGTCCAAGAATCCTCAAGTGAAGACTTAATAGAGGATTGATGTGGGACTGTAAGGGGTGAGGTCTGTGTATGGGATACTGGGACCACCCCCCAGTCCACCAACCAGGGGTGCGCCACGAGAGGAACAGGGAATGGGTGGTGGCCTCACCGTGCCCAGCCGCGTCTGCTCCAGCTCCTGCAGGCTGCGCACGTGGCTGGCGAGCAGCGGCTGCCTGCGAGGCCCGGCCAGCTCTGCTTCCACCGCCAGCACCTCCCGCGAGGCGGCGGCGAAGGCCTGAGTCACCTCGTGCACTGTGCTCCGGTAGCGCGCGAAGTCGTAGTCCGGGCCGCTGCGCAGGTACTGGCGGTGGCCTCTGCGGCAGGTGGGGACCCTGAGGCCGCGCCCCTAGGCTCTCAGGCTCTGCACCCGCGCCAACCACCTAAAAGGCCCCCAGGAAGTGTCCTCGGACCCCAGAGGGGAGGACTGGTAGGTAGGATGGACGCTTCCTGACTCCCGCAGGGGAACCCGAGACCGGCCCACCCCTGCTCTTGGGGAGGAGAGAGAAGCCACGAGGAGTGGGTCGTCGGGTAGTGAGGACATGCTGTGGGGCCTTTCTCGTGAAGGTGAGGACTCGGTGCCCCGAAATCCCCGCCGCATCTGACTCTGCAGCCGCGCGAGGACCCAGCTCCTCCTCCAGGCACGCCCGCCGAAAGCACGCCCACGCCCAGAGCGGGCGGGGAACTGAACCCTGAACCCCTGCGCACCCCCACTCACTCCTCCAGTCGGCGGAAGCCCTGCGCGCGCTCAGCCTGCAGCTGGTGGATGCGCTGCACCAGCGTCCGGATCGGGGCGTCTTTCTGTGGGGCGGGGGGCACGGCTGGGGTATGTAACCGGCGCCCCTGGGTCTGCGCCGCCCGCCCCGCGCCCGTTCCCGCTCGGGCCTGGACTCACCCAGGGCCACGCCAGCTCCTTGCGTCCCGGAGCTTCGGTGGTCTCCTCAGGAGCGGGCACTGAGGGGACCGTGGGCTCCGCCGCGGTCTCGGTGATCATGACTGCGCAGCCTGGCCAGGCTCCGGAGCAGGTCCTTCCACTGCGTCCGACGCCCCCTACAGGCCGGGAGGTCCACGGACCCCCACCCTGCGGCTGGCCAGCCACGAGACCTCGGGGAAGAAAGGCGAGCCAAGACCGCGGGCCGCCCAAGCAAGCCCTCCATCCTCCACCCACCCTTCTTGTTCCGGTCCAGCGATCGCGTTTTTCCTTGAATGTGCGGCTCTGAATACAGAACAGCTGTTAGCCTTGAGTTCGTTTCTATGCTTGTATCTCAACACCGACTTCCACGTGAAGCGGGTATTGAGCGTGGGTTTTGACATTCAAGAGCTTTAAGTAAGCCTGGGCAACCTAGGGAGGCCCGCTCTCTACAGAAAAAACAGCCCGACATGGTGGCTCCCGCCTATAGTCCCAGTTACTCGGGAGGCTGAGGTGGGAGGATTGCTTGAGCCTGGGAGTTGGGGGCTGCCATGAGCTATGACCGTGCCACTGCACTCCAGCCGGAGCCACAGTGAGACTGCCTCAATAAAAGTGCAGTGGTTGGAACTCCACCGACATTAACAGAGATTCACTGGCTCTCCAGAGAATCACAGGGGTGAAGACAAGATTCCGTGACAGGGACGGTGTCAACGGCCCTCCGAATTGAATTGGGTGTCTTATGTAATAGCCCTGAGCCTGGGGCATAGCAGGGGCCAGTACGACCTCAAAGTACAGAGAAGGCCTTGGAGCTTCCTGCTGGAGGGATCCACGGGCTAGATTGAGCTTTGGAAAGCTTCCTCCTCCAGGGGCCCAGCCGGAGGAGTAGGAAGATGCTAGTAGCCTAACCTAGTGAAGAGGGACCAGCTCAGGTATGGGGTGACAGACACCAGCCTTCAAGGGGGAAGGGACTAGGCTGTTAGTGAGTCGGGAATTTTTCCTGCCGATGGGTTCGTGGTCTCACTAACTTTGAAGAAGGAAGCTGTGGACCTTCGCGGTGTGTGTTACAGCTCAAAAAGAGTCCACAGACCGGGAGAGTGAGCAGCAGCGCAGTTTATTGAACAAAGCGAAAGGAAAGCTTCCACAAGCTGGAAAGGGACCCAGAAGGGTTGCAGTTACTGGCTCGCTAGGGCTTATATCCCGGTGTTACCCCCTCCCCTTTCTTTTTGTCCACTGAGAGTGGTTCTTTTTTCAATCCTCCCTTGGAGTGGTTTTTTTATTATTATTATTTTTTATTTATTTTTTTGAGACAGAGTCTCGCTCTGTCACCCAGGCTGGAGTGCAGTGGCGCCATCTCGGCTCACTGCAAGCTCCCCCTCCCGGGTTCACGCCATTCTCCTGCCTCAGCCTCCCGAGTAGCTGGGACTACAGGGCGCCACCACGCCCAGCTAATTTTTTGTATTTTTAGTAGAGACGGGGTTTCACCGTGTTGACCAGGATCGTCTCAATCTCCTGACCTCGTGATCCACCCGCCTCGGGCTCCCAAGTGCTGGGATTACAGGCGTGAGCCACCGCACCCGGCCTGGAGCCGTTAATTTTGAATCCTTCACTCCATTGGTTAAGAACTCAAAACCCTGAGTCACAGGGGTCTTCTGTGAAAATCCCTGAACTGGCCCAGAAAGTCCCACCAACTCCACCCCTCAGTCCCCTCTCTCAACAGAAGACCCCAACTGCTGTTGGGGTGTGGGACAATGACGGCTCTAATTGCTTCCTGCTAAATAGGGGCATAGAACGGGTCCTGTAGCTGAGGTTTCTTCGTGAGAGGTGGTTTGGGTGTCAACGTCCGGGTATGGGCTGGCCGTCTGGGGTGCTGATAATAGGTGCTGGTTGAAGTTATCCAAGGTTCCATCTGCAGTACCATTTCTAGTTTCATTGATTCTATTCGGGAAGAAACGAAGCAGATGAGGGAATTGAAAAGACATGGGCCAAAGGTTACTCCTAGAATAAGGAGGGGACCTAAAAATGGAAGAAGCCAGGAGAGAACACGCTGTGAGAACCCTGAGGTAGCTTCGGTTGTCCCACTGTGTAGTCTGCTGGCTCTATTCTGAAGTCATTTAATTCCATCTCTGACTATGCCTGATTTACTGACAAAAAAACAACATTTCTGGCTCAGAAAAAGGCATGTTCCTCCCCTTTCAGCAGTGAGGAGATCTAGTGCTTGCCCGCTCTGGAGAACCACGGCTGCTAATGAGTCTGTTTGGTCCTGGATTTGAGTAAGTTGGAGAGAGATTTCATCTAGGCTTTCGGAGCGGTTTTTTTTGTTGAGGCGAGTCTTGCGGTCTCGTCACCCAGCTGGAGTGCGAGCGCGGCAACTCGGCCACACAAGCTCCGCTCCTGGCGCCCGCGCGCTGCCTCAGCCCGCGCCGAAGGCGGGACTACAGGCGCCCGCTCAGTCTCGCCCGGCTAGTTTTTTGTTATGGTTTTGAGTAAAGTGACGGAGTTTCACCGGAGCGCGAGATGGCGGAGCGCGCGACCGTGTGATCCGCCCGTCTCGGCCTCCCAAAGTGTGGGATTACAGGCGTGAGCCAGCGCGCGCGCCGGCGGGAGGACGGAGTCTCGCTGCTGCCGCCCGAGTGTGGAGTGCAGTGACCGGATCTCAGCTCGACTGCAAGCACCGCCTCCCGGTTCACACCTTCTCCTGCCTCAGACCTCCCGAGTAGCTGGGACTAGACAGGGCGCGCGCAGCGCGGCGCCGCGCGAGTTGGGAGTTGATAGAGACGGGTGCAGCGAGAGCGCAGGAGCGCGAGTCCGCGCGGACCTCGTGATCCGCCCGTCTCGCGCTCCAGAACGGCTGGGATTACACGGCTTTGAGCCACCGCTCCCGGCCCTTCTTAGTTCTTGTAGAGAGAGGAAGATACTGCTGAGCCAGTGGTTCCAGTTCCTAGGGTGGTAGTAAATCCTAAACCAGCCAATAGAGGAAGTAGTGAGATTGCTCTCCGCTGAAGCTTACCATGAATGGGCACAGCTACTGCCGCTTCTGAAAAGGAATAAGTCACAGGAGGTACTATGTAGGCTAAAGTATAAGTTCCTGTCCAGTTGGTGGGAGGCAAATATAGAAGGATCTTCCACACACAAAGAAAACTCGTCAGGGTTCTATACACCCCTGTAGCTGAAAATCTCATAAGGGCTGAGGTTGGTCTAAATTCATTTCTTGTTCCCATGATTTGAGGGTTTGGGACAAACGGACGACTCCTAGCGGTTGGAGCTGAATATAATTTGCCGAGGACGTATTACGGGATTCCTCTAAGGCAAACCGGTGGCTCGCAGCAATTAGAAAAACTCATACTCCACAGACAGGAAGCAGGGGGCAATGGGTTTTTTTAACCCTTCGCCTGTGAGAGAGGAACAAAGTCCCAGGAGGGGAATATCCTGGGCAAAGGGAAGTCTGCCCCAGCAGTAATTGCTTGTTTTGGCCTCTGGTGGGGAAATTATTTGGCTTGGGTTGGTAAATCTTAAGGGACAGGTGACTGAAATAGGGTTTCCAAGGAGCTCATGTTTATTTCCACAAAACGTAGGGGTGCCAGTAGTGATACTGTAGGAATTAGAATATTTGAACTCCAGATCCTAGGGAAGCGTATAGTTGCAGCCAGCCATGTGTCCCACATCTTGTGATCCTGGGAACACTTGATGGGAGATACAAAGGAGTAGAGGCGAAGAGAAGGAGGTTATTGTGCCCACAGAACCTATGATTGGGATGACTGATGTAGTGAATTGTTGGAGAATGGCAGCGGCTGCTTTTAAGGCTGCTTGAGCCCTGTCAAGGAAATTGGACCTATCACTAGGATGAAAAAATCCTGGGCCCTTAGAAGTGTTAGCTATGGCCGGGCGCGGTGGCTCAAGCCTGTAATCCCAGCACTTTGGGAGGCCGAGACGGGCGGATCACGAGTTCAGGAGATCGAGACCATCCTGGCTAACACGGTGAAACCCCGTCTCTACTAAAATACAAAAAAAAAATTAGCCGGGCGAGGTGGCGGGATATATAGCACGAGTTTCCGGCCCCCTCAACAAGTGGTGGAAAGCTCTACAGCCCTAATACATAGTAAACACTTCTTTTTTTTTTTTTTTTTTTTGAGACGGAGTCTGGCTCTGGTTGCCAGGCTTGGAGTGCAGTGGCGGATCTCAGCTCACTGCAAGCCCTGCCTCCGGGTTCACGCCATTCTCCTGCCTCAGCCTCCCAAGTAGCTGTGAGTACAGGCGCCCTCCACCC